AAAAAAAAAAAAGAATTGTATGAGCCCCTAATAAAATGATTAGGAAAAAATAAAGATAATGGGGTCTTAGGTCATGAAAGATAAAAAGATCAGTGGCTCAGAGGAAAAAAACTTTTTTAACCAAAGTGCAAATGCAACTTCATAGGAAAAGAAGGGATTTTTATTCTTTGTGTAATATAAAAATTAATTCAAAGTGTATCAAATAAGAAACCTAAAACTAAAAAACATCTTTAAAAACAAAACAAAAACGACTCAGTGCCGTTGGTTCAATTCTGACAGCAGCCCTAAAAGACAGGCTAGAACTGCCCCGATGGGTTTCAGAGACTCACTCTTTACAGGAGTAGGACGTCCCCTCTCTCCCACCCCCTCTCTCCCACCGAGTGGCTGTGATTTCAAACTGCTGACCTTGCAGTCACCAGGACTTCACGAGAAAAGATAGGAGACATTCGTCATTACTTTGGATTACTCATGACTTTTTGATAAACAACATCAAGATCATGATCCTGAAGAGAAGGAATCAATAAATGGGCTCTGTCAGAGCCAGTGAATCAGAACCGATTCAATGGCAATGAGTTTGTTGGTAGTTGGAGCAGAATTAAGAACTGTTGGGCACACTACCACAGACTAGGGAGAAATATTTGCAAATCTCCTGGCTGATAAAAGCTTTTTTCTATAAGAGAGAATTCTCAAAACTCACCAGTTAGAAATAACCCCATTTTTAAACGTGCAAAAAATGTCAACACACACTTCACTACATAGATACCAAGTAAGCACATGCTTATGAAAAAAATCCTGATGAACATTATTAACCATTAGGGAAGAACAAATTAAACACCTGTTCAATCACTGCTGCCAAGTCAATTCAGATTCACAGCGACCCTATAGGACAGTGTAGAATTGTCACTTGGTTGCTAAAGCTGTGAGTCTTTATGGAAGCAGAAAGATTCATGTGTCTCCCTCAGAGCGGTTTGCAATTTTAAACTGCAGGTTTTGTAGTTAGCAGCCCAATGCATAATCCATTCTACCACCAGGGCTCCTAAATACTTGCTAGGATGTGTGAAAAACAAAACACAACGACTATACCAAGTGTTGGCCAGGATATGAAACAACTAGAATGATCATGAAACCTGGAAATACTTGAGTATTTTCTTTAAAAGTTAACATACTTTCACTTTTCTTATCGAATGGTCTTTGGCTAATCTTTACAGAAGCAGACTGACACATTTTTTTTTTACCAGAGTAATTGGTGATCCAAACCTCCCAACTGTCAGTTAGCAGGAAAGTATTAAACCACTGCACCACTAGATCTTCTCTGTAATTTGATATCGTAACCCACTGATTTGCAGACAGTGCCTTACATTTAATTATCTGAACAAAAACCAAACCCACTGCTATCAAGGCAGTTTCTGGAACTGTAAATCTTTAGGGAACAGACCAGCCTCATTGTATTCCTGCAGAGCAGCTGATGGGTTTGAACCACTGACCTTGCTGTTAGCAGCCCTATACCTCTTTCATTAGGTGACTTTAATTCTGAACAGAATGATACTGCACAATTGCCTGCCTTTCTTTCCAATGTAATTGTGTGGATTTCTAAGCATTGTTAACTCTTCTGTTGTTTCCATAGGTTGATGAAAAAACGATAGGAGAGCCTGGTTGGCTCTATGGTAGTTTTCAAGGAAGTTTTGGGTGGTTTCCGTGCAACTATGTAGAAAAAATAGCAAGTGGAAAAACTTTGTCCCCCAAGAAGGCCTTACTTCCTCCTGCAGTCTCTTTACCTGCTACCTCAACTCCCTCTGAGTAAGTTTTCATGAACAAGGGATTTTATACTGTACTGCAAATGTATAAATACCTAATGCATATTTGTGTTAGCATATGCGCTACTTAATCATGTGGTTATCTGTCTGGTCTCTTAAGGAATGCCTATTATTCTAAACTGGATGTTAAATTTAGCAAATTAAAATGTAGTTTGTTCATGGATTCTCTTTTTCCCATAAACTATTTAAATGCAGCATAAATTACATATAACTTGAAATAGATCAGCATGTTCTAAATCAGAGTGTTAAATTTACAGACCACTTGCTTCAAATCAACCAACATCGATGACTGATTATCAAAATGTGTCTTTTTCCAACCTAACTGTTAATACATCATGGCAGAAAAAATCCGCTTTTACCCGCACTGTGTCCCCTGGGTCTGTTTCACCTATTCATGGACAGGTATGTTCTTTTAAATTTTGATATACTTTATTCTTTGAATGTGTTTCTATAGAGTGAAGATTTTGGCCCAAAGCTTTTTTCACTCGATTAACCAGAGGTTTAACATAGGCTAAAGAACATTTAGCCTATGTTCTTATTCACATGTGACATTATTATTACTAGTAGGTTTCTTAGCAACAGTTCATTTCTACAGTATCAAGTTATTAGCAGCTAAGGTATCTAATCTCAAAATTTCATTTTTACAAATCTGATTATATTGTTGCTCATTTGTACTTTTATAAGGATATAAGAGATTAGATTTCAGATGAGGATGAGGATGATGATTAAGTAAGTCATTTGAGAACTTGGAATCTTGTTACTTATACTTAGCCTGTGGTTTAGATGTAAACATTCTAAGTGTTGTCAGGCCAATATCATAAAAAGAAATAGTAGATGTCATTAGAATAGAGTCCTACAGATTTCATTGTTATTCAGAATATGTATATTGAGTGACCAGAGATTCCAGACATTTCATGTGCTAGAAGTATAGGAAAAATATATTTTAAAGTCCTTCTCATTAAGAAGTTCATAATGTAATGGGGACAGATAGCTAAGTGGCCGTCAAATGTGAGAAGTTATAATAAAGGTACATATGGAGTGCTGAGGAATGTACAGAGGAGGGAGCCTCTCGCTCAGTCTGTGGGAATTGGAGCAAGCTTTGCAAAAAGCAAGATACTTGAGCAGGACCTTCAAAGATAAGGATTTTACCATCCAGAAAAGAAATGTTATTCTTTGATTTGTGGAAAGCTACTGAGCCATTAGCTAACAGGTGTTTTCAGGACACAGGGACTGTTGGTGGCTTAGCTGTAGTGTAGGAAGAGGCTCTAACTGGTGTAAATGATTGAACACACTACTATGAACCACAGGTTGGTGGTTCAAATCTACTCAGAGGCATCTCTGGGGAAAGGTCACAGCCATTCGAAACTGTGGAGTTCAGTTTTCTGAAATACATGGGTCAGCCAGAGTTAGAATTGACACCACAACACCTAGTTTTACTGGTGACAGCACAGAATTCATGGAGAAAGGGTTCAGAAGTGAAAATAGAGAGAGGTTGATTTTTGTTTGTGGAACATTTAATGGCATGGCTAAGCAATTTGGCAGTAGAAGGCCTGAAGGTTTTTGAGAGGGATTGAGGTCTCTGTCTTAGAAAGATAACTCTGGTAGTAGGGTAGGGACTAGATTGGCAGAAAGAAGAAAAGGCAGGTGACCAGGTGAAGGAGCGTATTATAACGGCTCAGTAACAGGAAATGATGGTGTAAACCAAAGCCACAATAAGGGGAATATATAAAAGAGGAGATGGATTTACAAGTGCATTTGCCCCACACTGTGTGCCTTGACACAAAATAGAGAATTCATCGACTATAGAGAGTAAGGAAGAAATTGGAGTTAATCCTCCAGTTCTTTAGCTTGGGCAGTTGGAAAGATGGATAAGAAATGGAGGAGGAGAGAGTTTGGTGGGTTCTAAAAATATGATTACATTTCAGACATACTTGGTTTGATGTGTTTATAGTAAGGGAAACCTCAGTAGACAGTTTTATTTACAGGTCTGCAGCTTAGGAGATAAAAGTGAAGATCAAGATTTAAGAGGTCATAGGCATAAATAAGATTATTTAGAAAAAAAAAAAAAGATTATTTAGAGAGATCATGTTGAACAGGAGAGGAAAAGGCAGGCCAAAGGGCAACCACTAATCAGAGAGTGAGCTTTAGAAACAAGGGCTTTAGTGGTTTCAGCACTGCTCAGAGATCAAGAAGAATAAGGATTTGGAAAAGGCCTTTGACTTTGGCCCTTATGATGTAATCAGTGACATTGTCAAGAAGGGGTTCAGTCATATAACAACTGTAAAATCCAAATTAGAATGGGTTAAGGTGTGAAATTAGAAAATCTGAGTATGCTTTTCTGTAGAGGTAGACAGTAGAGAAGGTGAGAAAGAGGTTAAAGATTCAAGGAGAGGACTTCAATAATGCTGCAAAATGTTTTAGAAAATGAGAGGTATCATGAGATTTTCAGCACACATCAAAAGCTCGGCCTTATGAGCAGAACAAAGGTATCCCTTCCTCAGAGAAGGAAGGAAAGAAAAATAAATGAGCGTACAAAGAGTTCAAAAGACAGGAGGCGGGAAATGGAGGGGACCAAGCATAGCCCCATCCCCAGTCCTTGCCGATTCGGCTGAATCCACTCAGTTAGGAGCTGCAGGCCAGATGTTTGTAGTGATTCTCTCCTTTTCCTTCTGTTTCATGACATCCGCTTGATGGATTGTAAATGTGCTTCCTACACACCCTCTGTTTCCAATCCACTACAGTGATATTTTATATCCGGATGTGTCCTCGAAGGGTAGCGGTCCAGTCTTCCTTGGACTTAGCAGGCCACCGAGATGACTGTCTCATGCCACTGAAGTCGGGTAGTAGAAGAGGGCTTCTTCGTCTCCCTAGTTAATGTGTCACCGCCAACCCAGACTGGCTTGCTGTTTTACTTGAATACACAAATCATGATTAGTGTTGTTGTCTTTTAATTTTTAAAAATTGTTTTTCTACTCACAGGGACAGGCTGTAGAAAACTTAAAAGCACAGGCGCTTTGCTCTTGGACTGCAAAGAAGGATAACCACTTGAACTTCTCAAAGCATGATGTCATTACTGTCTTGGAGCAGCAAGAAAATTGGTGGTTCGGAGAGGTCCATGGTGGAAGAGGATGGTTTCCGAAATCTTATGTCAAGATTATCCCTGGGAGTGAAGTCAAGATTGAAGAGTAAGCATCTTTGGGCATTTACATGAGGTGGGAGTGTTTGAGCTTTTGTTCTTCAGCCCACCATCATACAAGGAATGTGCAACAAAGAGTTTGAACATCAAAGTGCTTAGGTTTTTGTTTGTTTATATTTTCCTTTCGTTGTACCTGAAATTTACTTAGAAAAATTAGCTAGTTTTTGCTTTGGAGACTTTCTCCCCGGTTGCTTACTGTAAATTGCCGGTATCTAAATACATCTTCACTGAGAGCCTATTTGCTGAAGGGAGGCATTCCCATCTCTGGGCCGCCAGGGTTCCTTGAGCAAGCATTTCTTGTTGTTCATAGCACACTGTGCTACAGCTACTAACTTTCTTGCCTATATCCCGTGTTAGAACATGCCATGTCTTCTTTTTATTCTTGTTACGGGTGTGTTTGCTTAAGTCTTTCCATACCCACTCTAGTGCTTGATGCATAATATCTGCTCAATTATATTATGAATGAGAGAGGAACAAATGAATAAATTAATTTTCAAATTAAAGCAAGAGCTGAGCAGCTTATGTTCTCTTCCCTTTATTTCTCAGTCTGTAGGGGTGTCAAGTCACCAAGTATTTTTAATACAGTACAATGGATGATATCAAAAGCTATCTCGTGTCTTATTTGGAAGTTGATCTAAATACGAATGGAGTCTGTTTTAGTGGAAAGGGACAGGTCTTTGTTGGAAATCAAAAGGATTAAATTGTGATTCTGTTATTTTTGCCAGGCTGTGTAGAATAATCTCCTTGGTCTTCAATTTCCTAATTGAGTTAAATATTAAATGATCTTTAATACTGTTCCTGACTGTATGTTTGTATTCAAAATGCACACACTTTGCAGAGTGGCATGACACTTCAGATTGAGAAGTGGGTAATGATAACAAGAAGTGGCACAGGGGTTAACGCACTCAGCTGCCTACCAAGAAGCGGGTGGTTTTAACTGACCAGCAGTTCTATGGGAGGACGAGCTGGCCATCTACTTAGATAAAGATTGCAGCCTTTTGCCTAGTCCTCCTTTGTATGGCAGCGTTGCTGAAACCTGCCCAGTATCTTCGTCACACACAAGCCTCCCCTGGCCGGCTGCTTCTGGTACATTGCCACTTTGTTCTTGCTAAGCCAAGCCCAGCCCAGCCCAGCCCAGCCCCGTAGGAGCTTTAGCGAAAGACAGCCCGTCTAGCAATGTATTTGTGTCTCCGATTCTATTTGAGATATCTCAAGCCTATTTTTTATAAAGGCAAAACACCTCACATTTGAAGTACTCATAAATTATGTTAAATTAGCTTACTGTGTTTAAAAATTTAGAAGTTTATAATTAGACAGTTTTTAGTCCAACAGCATATGTGGATGAACATTTTTATTTAGCTTGCCTACGGAGACAATATTTAGAGTAACTTTGGAAACAAATCATCTTCTTTGGCTTTATTTATATCTGTTTTGTTTCCTTGTTGTGATTTGTGTGCATTTATTTGGCAGACCAGAAGCTGTGTATGCAAGTATAAACAAGAAACCTACCTCTGCTGCCTGTACCGGTGGAGAAGGTAAGCTGTTCGGCATTTTGTCAGTGAGACAGACGTCAGCTAAGCTATTGGCTGGTTAATGATCTGACTGTTCACAGCTGTTACTCGCCCTGAAAGTAAGGCTAGGAAAGCCTCCTCTGTAGCAATTTCCTGTGAGTACTGAGTATCTACAAAAAACGTGACAGAAAGTACTTTCTACTTTTGGAAAGTCAGTGCTGTAAAAACACAGTGTGGACGGGACCAATAAATACAATTGTGGGTTAAAAGTGTTACAATGAGGGAGCAGGGAGGTTTTAGTTTTCCCACTACCTGGATCTAAATTATAAATGTTGAGAGGTAAGAAAACTTCAGTGCACTGAGCTGTTTAAAAATGGATTTTAATTACTGTGTACCATTTGGTCATTCAGTAGGATATGAAATCAATGTATACTTTATCACATATATCACAAAGAAATATTTTTTTTCTATTTACCCCATTAGGTGGTTTGAGTAATACATTGTTTTGGCCAGTGTTCTGCCAACATAATTTTATTTTTTTGACTTCTGTAATCTTACAGCTTAATTTGTTTCTTTTTTGGTTTGTTCCCTCCAGAGTATATTGCACTTTATCCATATTCAAGTGTAGAACCTGGAGATTTGACTTTCACCGAAGGTGAAGAAATACTGGTAACACAGAAAGATGGAGAATGGTGGACAGGAAGTATTGGAGACAGAACTGGAATTTTTCCATCAAACTATGTCAAACCAAAAGATCAAGAGGTAGAATAATCTTGATGTAGAAACAAAATCATTCAATTCATGTTGATTATGATTAACACTTACTAAGTATGTCAGTTTGTCATACTGCGGTGGTTTGTGTGTTTCTGTGATGGTTTTCTGTGGATGGTTTTCAGCGGAGCGTACAGACTGAAGAACAAATAGGCCACCCACTTCAGAGGACTTTGCCACTGAAAACCCAACAAACAGGAGTGGAACGTTGTCAGATACCAAAAACATAATTTATAACAGCAGACTATTATCAGAGATCGTGCCAGAAGATGAGCTCTTCTGGTCAGAAGGCAAATTTGACCAAGGAAGAACTTCCTTCTCAAAGTAGAGTTGACCCTAGTGACACGGAGTGAGTGCCTTCAGACCTTCCTTTGCTGATGGGGCAGGACGCAAAATGAGAAGAAACAACTGCAGACATCAATTACTGATTGGTATTTGGAATATACAAAGTATGAATCTAGGAAAATTGGAAGACATTAAAAATTAAATGGCATTTATAAAGATTGATGTTCTAGGCATTAGTTGAAATGAACTGGAATTCAGAAAATCATATACCATATATACTCCTGAATAAGCCGATTTTTCCAGCACATTTTTAATGCAGTTTTTGTGGTAAAATTAGGTGCCTTGGCTGATATTTGGGTCGGCTTATACTTGAGTATGTACGGTACTTGGGAATGACACAATCAGGAGGAATGGTTTTGCATTCATTGTCAAAAAAGGACATTTCAAGACCTGTCTTGAAGTACAGTGCTATCCATGATAGGATAATATATGGAAATCTAATCAATACAATATTATTTAAATCCATACACCAAACACTAAAACTAGTAGTAAAGAAATTGAAGAATTATACCAATATTTTCAGTCTGAAATTAATCAAAGATACAATCAAATGCATTGATAATTATTGGCCGTTGGAAGCACAAAGAAGGAACAGTTATTGGAAAGTATGGTCTTGGTGACAGAATGAAGGTAGAGATCGCATGACAATTCTGCAAGACCAATGATTTGTTCATAGCAAATACCTTATTTTAACAACATAAACAGCGACTATACATGTGGACTTCTCCAGATGGGAAACACAGCAATCAAATTGTGTGGGAAGAGATGATGGAGAAGCTCAATATCCGAAGTTTAAACTGGACCAGGGGCCAACTGTGGAACAGACCATCAATTGCTCACTTGTAAATTCAGAAACTCACAGAGGCAGTTCTGTGTTCGATAGGGTTGCTGTGCATCAGAATGGACTTCCATGGCAGTGAGTATTAGTAGATTTAGTATCATTGATAATATATGCCAGTAAAAATTTGCTGAAGGTTATCCAACAACAGTTGCAGCAGTACATTGACAGAAGTGTCAGAAGTTCAGGCCAGATTCAGAGGAAGACATGGAATAAAGAATTTCATTGCTGACATCAGATGAATCTTGGCTAAAAGCAGAGAATACAAGAACAATGTTTACTTGTGTTTCACTGACTGTGCAAAGGCATTCAATTGTGTGAATCATAACTAACTATATAGATAACCTTGAGAAGAATGGGAATTCCAGAATACTACATTGTGTTCATGTGAAACCTATACATCATCCCAAGGCAGTTGTGCAAACAAAACAAGGGAGTACTGTATGGTTTAAAATCAGCAAAGTTATGCCTTGGGGTTACATCCTCACACTATGCTTACTCATCAGTATGCTGAGAAAATCCTCAAAGAAGCTGGATTATATGAAGAAGAGTGTGGCATCAGAATTGGAGGAAGACTTATCAACAACCTGTGATAGGCAGATGGCACAACGTTGTTTGCTGAAAGTGAAGAGGCCTTCAAGCACTTGGTGATGAAGATCAACTATTGCAGCCTTCAACATGGATTGCAATTCAGTGTAAAGAAAGCCAAAGTCTTCACAACTGGACCAAAGATAAAAAGCATCATGATCAATGAAGAGAAGATGGAAGTTGCCAAGGATTCCATCTTGCTTGGATCCACAATTAGTGCTCATGGCAGCAGCAGTCAACGATGCATCCCATGAAGTAAATCTTCTGCACAAGAGCTCTTTAAAGTGTTGAAAAGCAAGAATGTTGCTTTGATGACTAAGGTATGCTTGACCCAAATCATGGTATTTTCAGTTACTTCCCATGCCTGTGAAAGTTGGACATTGAAGAAGGAAGACCAAAGAAAAATCCATGCCTTTGAACGTTGGTGTTGGTGAGGCATATTGAAAGTACTGTGGGTTGCCAAAAGAACAAACTGTGTGGAGAAGTACAACCAGAATGCTCCTTAGAGGCAAGAATGGCGAGACTTTGTCTCATGTACATTGGACATGTTACCAGACCCTAGAGAAGGACATCATGCTTGGCAAAGGAGAGGGGCAGAGGGAAAGAGGAAGGCCCTTAAAAGGTGGATTGACGTGGTGGCTACAAACATAGTAATTGGGAGGATGGCACAAAACCCGGGTGGTGGTTCTTCTTTTGTACACAGGGTTGCTTTGAGTTGCAACTAACTCGATGGCACCAAGGAACAATAACAGTGTGTGTGGTTTTGGTCAAGCTCTTTTGTTTACAAATAACCTTCCTAAGGTAAACCAAACCCCTAGCTGTTGAGTCCATGCTGCCTCACAGTGACCTTACAAGGCAGAGTAGAACTGCCAAGTAGGATTTCCAAGGCTGTTATCTTTATGGAAGCAGACCGCTTCATCTTTCTCTTACAGTGCTGTCGGTGGGTTTGAACCACCAACCTCTCAGTTCACAGCTGTTTGCTTGACCACTGCACCACTAGGGCTCCTTACTACTCCAGGCAGTATCATTTGGGCGGGAGGAGGGGTGGGGAGGAAAAGCAAGTAAGGATCAAATTATAGAGATGAAGAGGTAGACAGGATTTCATGAAAATCTAAGAACAAAGCCACAGGACTGGGCTGTCAGCACTGATAGAGCGCTGCATGCAGGAGGCTAAAGACTGCCTTGAAGGATCTTGACAGTCTTCACTGTGGATTCTGATTCTCATGCTGCTTTTCAGCTCTGCCACCTGTGTGGTGTGGTTAGTAGTTCCAGAACTTTCTGGTTTCAAGAACTCTTCACCATCTTACAAATTACTGAGAAGCTCAAAGACTGTGAGATATCTAGTGATATTGGCCATATTAGAAAATAAACCTCTGAAGTAGTTTACTTATTATCAATTCACTTAAACATAACAAACTATTATATAGTTACATAAGTTCTATATAGTGTTTCTTATGAAAACTAATTAAAAATTGATGCCCCCTCCCCAAAAAAACAAGTTTAATAAGAAGAATGGCATTGTTTATTTTGCACATGGATTTAATGTCTAGCTTAGTTGACAACAGCTAGAATCTCATATTTGTTTCTGTATTCAATCTGTTGCAATCTGTTGCTTTGTTTAAAGTGTAGGAAGAAAATTGCCCCCACACATATGGCAAAAAAGGGCGACAAATTTTAATAACATTTTCTGGTGTATGCCAATATGCTTCTTTTGTTACACCAAAACGTGATAAATAGTAAGTTGTTACAAATTAGTTGCAACCTGAAATCTGAAGCCATATCCATCAAATTTTCTTAGTTACATTAAAATATCTTGGTCTAATTTTCATATTGAATGAACCTTTTGCCGTGTGGCATGTGATACATCATTCATTGACTTCTTTGGGCAACATTAAATTATACAGGTATTCCCTGTGCTGACATATTTTACTCAACATTATCAAAATGTCACGTTTGTTAATATCACTAGTGATAAGATCCCCAAAGTCATTAAAACCAAGAAGCTGTCAAGCTCCCAATAGTGGATGCAGATTTTCCAGAGTTTAAATTTTCTTGGAAAGCTTGAATTCTGTCACCGACAAGAAATCCTAACAGCCGTTTTCCCTGAAGTAGTGCGCTTTCCTCTTCGGTTTCTGAGAACCTATCTGCCACGTCCCGAGTCTGAATAACTCATACGTCTTTCAGGTAACAATCTTCCCTGAGAAAGACTAGTTCTGCTCGCAGGTTAATCACAGAAATGATTTTTCTCCAGGCAGTCATGGCGTACAGAGCAGACACACTTTATAAACAGTGCCATTAAGCTGCACCGATTTTTTTTCTTAATGTGTCCTTGAGGATCAAGACTTAGTAAAAAGTGTCCTCCTTCACCACGGACACTCTTAGGTGAACCTAGCCTGTGCAGTCCTGGGACAGTATAATGATTCATGGACGCCCTAGCAATTTCACCCCCACATTGGAAATGTCAGCACTGTCAGACAGGCAGATCTTAGGATTATTATGAAATTCACTTTCATCTCATAGACTAAAATCAGATCCCTGAAAGGATCTCTAAGGACTGCCCCTAGAGGGAACCTGCAAACCATGGGTCGGATGGGTCCGGTTCAGCCTGTGTGGAATGTATTGGCCTAGACAGACCTGTTTTGATGTCTAGTGGGATAGGGATTACACCCTGGGCTGCTAACTGCAAGGTCAGCCATTTGAAACCACCTGCGGCTCCGAGGGAGAAAGAGGCATCAGAGGCAGTGAGTTTGTTTTGAAGTTTTGAGCCATGTTTTAAATTCAGGAAAGATTTAAAAAATGAGTTACCCCTGGTGAGCCAACCATTTGTGCATATTATGTTCTATGAGTTGACCAGGTCTCCTCATGCATGCTGCATTCAGAACCAGGTCGCTTAGCATGACGTGAATGGCCATTTTGACCTCATTTAAAGAAATATAAATCCTGAGAACTTGACATGTACTTCCTAAGAACCTTTGTACTTTTACCATCTGAGTTATTAAAAAAAAATGATAGCACGATACAATTTTTTTTTCCTTTTAGAGTTTTGGAAGTGCTGGCAAATCTGGACCATCAAACAAAAAGCCTGGTATGTATCCTAATTAACCTAGAAAAACATGAAAATGCTTGCTTTTTCATAGTCTTGGATTCATAATTTCTGGCTTTTCTTCAAAATTTCCTTCTCAGAGATCGCCCAAGTCACTTCAACATATGTGGCTTCTGGTTCTGAGCAACTTAGCCTTGCCCCGGGGCAGCTAATATTAATTCTAAAGAAAAATACAAGTGGATGGTGGCAGGGCGAGTTACAGGTAATACATCTTAAGACGTTTGTCACTTTGTAAAAGTAATGTGTGTTCATTAAAAAGTCATAACATTTTATATTGACTGCATCGTGCCACCTAGAGGCAAGCAATAGTAACATTTTAGTGTCGTGTTTCTCTATGGTCTTCTCGTGTCTGGCATTTGAGTTGTTGTATCAGTACATTTAAGGAATTTCCTCCAAAAACACTACTTGTGCTCATGCATGTGTTCACACACCTCAGGTTCCCTTTGTCAAAGAAGCAAGATCTCTGCTTGGACTAACCCTGGAGTCCCGCTGTGTGCTGAGGAAATTGTACCCCTCAGATTTCCCCTTACGGTCTCAGGTTTTTGACACAGCAGTGCAAGGAAAAGGGGTGCCGACTTAGATGAGCCCTGTTAATTTCAACCGAAGTGTTAGCAGAGAAAGTGGTTGCATGTGTTTTGATACATAAAGCGAATCCATTTAAACAAAAAAGTATTTAAGGACTAAAGGCTGATGAGAGGCCAACAGCTGTGTTTCTACCTCCTCGGTTCCATATGCAATTGTAACACAGAGCAGAAATATGGTTTCATTCTTGCAACTCAGAATCTTGGGTTCTTAAAGAGCAGCGGGGGAAAGTCTCATAGCATTGTGAGGAACTCCCAAATTTACTTTCTGATTTGCTTTGAAGACTAGCCCAAGTTCTAGGCATTGGCTAGCCAAAACTTTTATTTCTGATATCACTGATTTCCACAAAGCCCCCAGAGGCATTTACAGTTTGGGATGCACCAGCTTACAGACTGACTGAAGCTCCCCCAAAGGACTCTGGCCTGGTCTCTGTGAGATACTTGCGAACACGGAGCCCGTTCGGCCTCCAAGTCCCCGCTTCGGCCAGCTGTTGTAGAGCACTTGGACAGGCAGCGAGTCTCCCAGTCTTCCTGTCAAGGGTTTTCCTAACTTTTAAGTTACATCTCAGTAATTATTTGCTATTCACACTATTTTCAATCTCCCCTTTCAATTGTATACTCCTTTTGCACTTTCCCAGGCCAGAGGAAAAAAGCGGCAGAAGGGATGGTTTCCTGCCAGCCATGTTAAACTTCTGGGTCCCAGCACTGAAAGAGACACACCTGCGTTTCATCCTGGTATGGAGAGGGGTTAACCTGGATGCCGTCTTTGGGCAATTTTGTTTAAAACTCAGCCACTTCTCAGATGAACTAAATAAACACTTTGTAAAGTCTTAAAAAGGCCTTTCCTTACCTCTGCCCAAAAGTAATGTACCACTGATAACTTCCTTTCGAAAAACATGCTGTGTAGACACAGCCAGTGTGCATTGAGATTTGAGCCGCATGGCTCCGTGAGAGTTTCCTAAATAAAATTGCTATGCCATCGTACTTACTTAAAGTGAAGGCATTCACTTGTTCCTTTAGCTGTGATTCAGCAAAAAAGGGGTGTAAAAAGAGGGAAGGAGGGATGAAGGAAGAGCAGTTCAAAAGGGAATATTTAGTCTCATTTTAATATTTATCATTAAAATAATTTAAACCCTATGGGGAGATCGAACATCTGATCCCTGTAGGAATCATGACGTTAATTTGATTTTTGTGGTGGTATGTTTTGTTTTGTTTCTCGCAGTGTGTCAAGTGATCGCCATGTATGACTATGTGGCAAATAACGAAGATGAGCTGAATTTCTCCAAGGGACAACTTATTAATGTTCTGAACAAAGATGATCCTGACTGGTGGCAGGGAGAAACCAACGGGGTGACCGGCCTCTTTCCTTCAAATTATGTTAAGATGACGACAGACTCGGATCCAAGCCAGCAGTGTGAGTACTATTAAAGTCTCGACTTCCTAACTCGTCTGAGCGCTCTCCTCATTCCTGCAATTGATTACTGCATTGATTAGAATTGTGGATTAGATCTTTTTAAACTCAGTTTATAGCAAATGTATGTTAATGTTTAAGAAAATAGAAAAGGAACTTTTTACAAGATCTAAAAGTTGTACAGCTTTACTTTAAATTCCTGTTCCTAGCTTCAGGCCTCACTACCCCACTTCCTCTGACCGATGTGAGCCGTCTCTTGGGTGGGGTCGGTCTGTGCTGTGACAGCAGTCTGCCCTGCAGCCGCAGTCCTCTGTCCCCTCTGGCATCCAGCGTCTCTGTCCGCTTCATGAGAGACAGCTAGTGATTACCCTGTTGTTCACACAGCTACACACCCACAAGTTTTTCACCCTGTTAGTAAAAATGCCATTAATTTTACAACTTTCCCATTTATCTCCCACATATTTAAGCATCATCTGGGTAGGAGAAGGTAACCTGTATAAACCTTTGTTTGGAAACTTTCACGAGATGATTTTTTTTAGAGAACTGTGTCATGCAAGAGATAGACAAATCAAGATCTGTTTGGCTACTTTTAGAACAAGGGCTTAGGTCTCAAAAGTATAAAATTTGCTATTATATAAAATTATCTCTTGGCAATTACCTAGCTTTCTTATATTTAATGATAAATATAGCATTAATAATAAATTAAAGAATAAACAGTACTTAGAGATTCTTGTTACTTTTATAAAATGGATATCCTTTCTTCCCACCCTTTTGAGTTTTTTGTTCTGTCAACAAAATACTTTACCCTGTATGTTTCTTATCATTCTTATAAAGTTATCTGAATAATACAGCCTGTCGTTTTGAGAACATGAAATGGGTAGCTCAGTTAAAACTGAGATACACGTATGACTCGGTGCCACTGGGTTACATCCACATTGGACTGTGTAATTTCTAGTGATAGTCTTCATTTCTGTTTCAGAGATTATAAAGATGGCTCTAATCCTGGGGGAAAGATTTCCCTCTAGATAGATAAACAGCTAGATTTTCCATTGTAGAGGAGGGAAGACTCTAATATTCCATGATTTGTAAATTCCCCCCAAAATGTCTCCTGGTTTTAAGAAAAGTGGCAAGAAAACCTCACACAGTGCAGCTGCGCAATGAACAGCCAGGTGAAGTTCTACTGATGGCTGGGCCTGGCCCCGCAGCGTGCCAGTTCATCAGATTGCTGGCAGGGGCCCAACACATCCTTCACACGCCTTGCTTAGAGCTGAGAGAAGGTACTTCTCAGACCTAGGAGATAAGGAGTCTATTCTGGGTGTCAGTACACTTGGCTTTTATAGCTTTTAGAATCTAAAATGATGGTTTCCTAATGTCATATTCGGTTATCTTGTTTTCCAGCAATGGAATACTATTTCTCCAAATTAGTGTTATCTAATAAGAAATAGAAGGAACAAATAAAAGCTCTTCTGAAGGGAAGGCCAGCCAGGATCACGCTCTGAAGTCTTCACTTCCTCTTCCTTACTCGCCTCTTCTATGACCCTGCCCCCCCCCCACACACACACACACACACACACCAGGTTGCCCTCTGGGGATGATAGAAAAGTCACTGTTCTAGAGAAATCTATTTCAAGACAGTAACCGCCTCCTAGGAAAATAACCTACCAACCCCTAAAGTTAATTGAGTGATGTCTTTTTATTCTTAAAAGACACAACGCAGGCTACATAGCTGTTACCTGACTTCATTATTTCCAGGCTTATTAGCCATGGAAGTTACTTTCCGACCCGGAATGCTTTACTTACAGTTTTAGTATGGGTTGAACTACTAGACCCTGTCGCCCCCTGAGATGAGGGACCTCAACAGGACAGTGCTATCATTCAATAGAACTTTCTGCAGTGAGACAGACCGTCTCTACCTACACTATCCAATGCGGTGGTTACGACCCACGTGGAACTTTCCACACTTGAAGTTTGGCTGATGTGACTGGGAAACTCAATTCTGAATTGTGTGTAACTTTAATTCGTTTGAATTTAAGTAGACGTTTGTGGTTAGTGGCTACCATATTGGACAGCACAACTCTAAGAGGACCACCAGTTTAAAGCCGTCCCCAAAATAAGACAAGGAAACGGTACTGTCGAAACATTAAGTGTAAACCTTTGAAAAGAGAAAGGCGTCTGTCTTTTGGTCGTTGCTGCCTTACACAGTGGCCTTGAGCACAGTGCCCATGTGCTTCAGATTGTACCTCTTACGGGATTTGGGGTTTTATGTTAACATTTTCCCCGGTATGAAGGCATTTATTCCTTTGTTACGTATTCTTTGAGTGTCTGCTGTGTTCTTAGCGTTAGCCACACAAAGATAAAGACTACCTCTGCTCTAAAGTAGCCTGAGAATCCAATAGGGTGAAATTGTATAGATTAAATCTAACAGTCATTATAATGGAGATATATATATACAAATATATTTTTGTAAAAGAGCCCACAAATCTAACTGAGGAAAGATCAGTTAGGAAGCCGTCACAGAGAATATTTGAACTGAAACATGAAGGATAAATTGTATCAATTTGCCAGAGAGGCTAGAGTTAGGGATCAGCTTGACAAGAAGGTAGTAGAAAAGAATGAGCTGATTGTTTGCGTCATTATATTTCAAAACGTGGGCTAGAGAAATAGAATGCTGAAGAGGTTATTTCTCTAGTCCACAGCTTCAAAATTGTAAAACTATTATCAAAAAATTACTTATGATGTTGTTTCTATTGCTGGGGGTGTGTGTGTATTTAATTAGTTCGATCATATGGACAAACTCTTATCTAAATAATGAACGGTTTGTCATCCATCCTGGAATAAAAGATCTCTCTATTCTACAATTCTGAGAACAATTTCTAAATATGAGGAGGCTTCAAAAAGTTTGTGGAAAAATTCCACGATCTTTTAATCCCCTTTTTTTTTTTCATGAATTTTGGTACAAACCCCCTCCCCCCAATTTCTCTGAGAAAGCTTATGGTTGATGTAAAGCAGTTTAAATCACCTGGGAAGGCAAGAAGTGCTGTTTTGGTTTCCTTTCATTTTACTTCAAATAATTGCTCCTCAGAAATTTGAAGAGTTGCGGTTACTTTCAAAGGATAGTTACCCTATTTTTACACAAATAATAAGCATGTTATAATTTTGTAATATTTTTTGTAAACCGCACAACCCCATAGTGTATCAGCTTCTTGTGACCACTGGGTGCATTGTATATGTGGGTGTGTTTTATGCAAAAAATACTGTGATTGTATCGGTAACTATGCAATCAATTCAGACTAAATTTGTATGGGTTTTTAACTTTAATACCAGGTTTTGTTGAGAAATTGCTTAAGCCTCAATCAAAGAATTGATTTGAGATCTTTTTATACCTTTCTAGAGCTGTGGAAATGAATCAGTGGTTTGTAGACTTCATGAGTCAGTGAGAGCTGGGTACATTTGAAATTATCACTGTGGCTCTTTGGCCCTTTAAGTATCATTTTCATATTACTGTATTATTAGGACATTTTTTAGAGGTTGAGAATATCAATAGACTGAATTTCCTTAGTTGATGTTGCTCTCCAGCCTTTAATAAGTCCTTATTGCATGTTATTACTAGTCAAATTTTATTCTCACCTACTTAATTTGCATTATGTTCATTTTATTCCTCATTTTTCTTTTTTTAGGAACCAATGTTGTCTTCCAGTGTGAAAGCACCCCAGAGACCCACTATCCAAGTTTGACTCTAGCGTGGAGGCAGGGCAGGCAGCCCTGATCCAATATCTCCTACACAATCCATTTACTCGTCGGTGTGAGAGCCACTTGGGATTCTCTCCTTGTGTTTCTGGTTCACAGTTAAAATTTACTTGTAACAAGTGAAAGGATAGTGGGTCTTTGTGTGGCTTTCCCTGCTGTTCACTCTGGCATCTTTTAGCATTTTTCTCCTTTTTCTTTGGTAATTGTAGGTCATTAGCATGCATATTGAGTTTGCCCTCATGTGGTGGGAGTTCAAACACACAAAGACCCACTATTTGCACAAACTATGCTCGCTGGTTTGGAATGGGCTGCTGTCCTTCTCTGATGCTGTTGCCACATGTATCCCCATTACAGAGTTCAGAGACAATGTGCTGATGTGTCGCTATTACGTTTGATCTAATTCCAATCACAGTGAGCTGGCCACCGGCTCACTGCGATCTGCCCCTAATCTGCACTGTTTACTAGATCACTTTCTGATGTGCCACTGTGAGGCCCACGGTTTAGCTGTCTGAAAGGCAAGAACTGGACATGGTCTTTTCTCTCATTTCTGTGTTGAGCGGGTGAGAACGCTCACGTCTCTTGGGAGCTCTTCTGACCTCACAGGAGCAGGCTGGCTTGCCCTGGCGGAGCTGTGACCCAGCGGGTTGTGCAGGCCCCTCGAGGGTCCCAGGGTCTGCACTGTACTGGGCCAGTCCCCTCAGGAGCTCAGTGCATAAGGCCGATGCAGCATGGGCCGCTAGCTGACGATTCTTCCCTGACAACCAAACGCAGGGACTATTTTGAGGACTGAAAAGCTCCCAGGGTTCCCTTGGCTTAGGACATTTATATCAACAATACATTGTAAAGTCAGAATTCTTATTAGTGTGTATTTGAATCAGGTAGCATATGTCCCAGGTAACAAAGGGCATTGCTCGATGTTCCTGTATTTAGTGTTCAGTAAAGATCATGAGGAATCCCTGCAGAGTTCAAGTACCCCTGGCACAGGCCTACGGACTAGCCAAGAGTGACCTGTAGCCAAGGAAAGAACGTGCCGTGGAAGCAGGCGTTCCTCTCTGGCCATCAGGCTACAAGACTGACTTTCCCACCCAGGGGTTTCTGGCTCAGATCCGGGCTTCAGGAACATTGGCTGCTGTGGCATAGGATTTTGTTTCTTTTCCTGAAATGGAAATAACATTAAAGAAAATACTCATGGCTATTTATAAATGAATAAATGTGTGTGTACTCAGCTGAAACAGAAGTGGAGTTTTAGTAGACAG